ACTAATTAACCTAATAAATAAATAAATAAATAAATAAATAAAAAGGTCAAAATTAATTTATTAAAAAAAACTAAACCTATTTTTTTAGGGTTTCTTAAAAGAATTAAATTAGGTTAATGATTGATTAAGAAAAATAATTAGGGTTAGTAATTAAAAGAAATTAGAAAAAAGAGGAAAAAAAGGTTAAAACTGCATGGGATGGGTGTTGAACCCACACCCTCTATCTTTACAGTTGTACGGGTTTCCACCAGGCCAAACACTGGTTGGTGATAGAGAATAGGCGTAGTGCATAATATATGAACCTGCAGAAATTGTGAAAATAACAATAAAAAAAAGGATGCAAAAGGTAGGGATCGAACCCACGCCCTTGTATATCAAATCCTTAGCACGTGCTTTCTTGCCACTGGGGTGGCTGTTTCATCCATTAATATAACCAGACAAAATAAATATATTATAAACAAAATAGATGGACCGGAGAAGCGTCGGAGCCCTAACTCCGGTCGTCTATTCCGGTGAGCACGTTTTCTCAACCTGCAAAGTAAAGCATGTGTGTGATCAAGAAAGCCCTACCCCCTAATTCGAGGGATGCAAATTCATTGGTGGCCTTAGTTTTGGCTAAAACGTCTTGTACAATGAGATATAAGGAAAATATAGCAAATCAGTGCAAACATGGTGGTACACGATTCTAGCATTATGGGACTCATGCGAAGGTTCAGACCTGCATAGTTTCATCTTAAGAACATGTTAGCATGGTTAGTTTCAATCAAAATATCATAGAAATTAAAACACAAAATTCTCAAAAATAAGGAAAGCGGTGATGCATGAGATGCGTGTTTCAGGCCTATTTGATTATCAAGGATGATCAATACTTGCTCTATAGCTCCTCAAGAGTCGATTTGGATGACTGGTTTGCTTGGAAAGTGGTTGTATGAGAGGTTTCAAGTTTGCCCTAGTTTGACAAAATTTAATGTTTTGAGTGGGTGTTCTTGCAAGGTTTTTCTGTGTCCTTTGTCTAAAGATAACGTGCATATATATAGGAAGAGATTAGGTCAAGAAGAATGGGATTGTACCTCTTGTAATTATATCTTTTATTTTGTTTGAAAAATAAGTTTAAATCTTTCCAACCATGAAGATTTGCTCTACCAATGAATTCCCACGAATTACAGCATGTCCTTGGGCCTCCAAAATATTTGAAACAAAAGCCTTCTAAGCCTTATACCTTCACTTACTATTTATTTGATTTAGTTTACATTTAAATGAATAAAAATTCAAATAAAAGAAATAAAAATCATAAAAAATATGTGAATAGTTTTGGGGGTCCCCTAACATGTCATGAGCACGTTTGAACTTCAACAATTAGGCCCATTAGTCCAAAAGTCCAAAATTGTTCAATTGGGGTTTCATGCAATTTCACAAAATTATCCAACTTGTGCAACTCATAACTTGCTCAATTTTTATCATATGAAGATGATATTAGACTTTTTATAAAGCTTAAGATGTCCCCTACAACTCTCATGTAGATCATTTTTCCATTTGATGATTTTATCTTGATGTGAATTGCTTTAACAAAAAGTGTCTTTTTGTTGGCTTTTAAAATTACCTATAATGTTTTGGCTCATATCTCTCAAATGAAGCATTTTTGGGCCTTGAGCTTAGAGATACCAAGTTGTAGAGAATTGAATTTCCATAAAAATAGGATTTGGTTGATAATTTTATGATGAAGCATGTGAAAGTTATGCTTGGTCAAAGTTCAGTTGACTTCTTCTAAAGAAAACCCTAATTTATCAACTTTTGAATTTTGATGAATCTTGAGTTTTCTTGTGGAGTTATGATCAACCCTTGATAAAATGATGAATGTAACTTCAAAATATTGATGTTGACCAAGAATATCGAAGTTTGACTATATGTTGACCACAATTGACTTTTTATCCAACACAATTGATTTTCAATCATCTGAGCAATTGACTGAGCAAATTTATGATGCAAGGCTTGAAACTTGACATGAGGATTCTTTGAAGCATATGAGGAAACATGAAACTAATTTGAGACATTATAATCTCAATTTCCTTTGAGAAAACCAAAGCCCTAGTTATAGGAAACTGCTTAGGGGGAGGACTCATCCGATCATTCTTGTGTAGTCTTGAATACTTGATAACCTTAAGAGCATGAGGAGGTACCTTGAATCAACTTGTCTTAAAAAATGGGAGTAAAAATTTTAGGGTACAACAGGTATCATCAAGTTGGAATGATGCATGAATGATATATTTTAGTTAGGAACTTTTTAGGTAAAAGAGGGAAGTTTAGGAATGAAAAAATTATGCAAAAACGACCCACAAAACAATATGTGTGGACTTGAAAAAAATTAATTGTCAACACATGCAAAATACTAGCTACAAGATTTAAAAATGCAGTAAATATGTCGACGTGAAAATCTTATGTGTCGACGCATAAGTCGTAGTCGAAACATAAATCGTATGTGTCGACACATACTAAAGTTTTTTAGAAATCGCATAAATTTTTATTTTATGTGTCGACACATACAAATTTATGGTCGACACATAAAGATGTTTTTGCGCAGAAACTGATTTTTCATGATTGAGACCAATTTTAAACTTAATTTAAAATATTCCTAAGACCTCTAATTCAAGGGAGTGCCACATGACATATATATATCGTCCAATATACAAAAATACTAAGTTTTCCTCGTTTTGACATCATATAAAACATCTAATGGTGAAGTTGCACTCACATTTTAAATGAATGAGAGAATCTCATAAGATACTAAGACATCTCTCACACACACACTCAAATATTTTTGAAGCCTCTCTTATTTTATAAAACCAACAAAATATGTTTTAAGCACATGCGAAAGTGATTACTATCTAGTTTAAACCTTTAAGAGTATTTTTACACTAGATAATCGATTAACACACGATGGTTAATCGATTAAATCTTTTGTAACCCTCCGAATCGTTTAAATAAGCTTATAATCGATTAGTGACAATAGATTTAAAAACTTCAATATTTAGCCTATCCAATCGATTAAACCCGTGTCCTAATCGATTAGATGCATTAATTAGCCCATGGATCATTTTCCTTTTTTAGACATATTTTATCCTATAAATAAAGGCATTCTTCTCATTCAAAAACACACTAGAATCTGTTTTGAGTCTCTTATTTCTCATTTCTACTCCTTTTATATTTTTTCACTAAATTTGTCTTAGTGTCTTGTGAGAGTTTGATTGTGGTGTTCATGCTTCTATTGATATTCATTAAGAGTGCGATTCTCTTTGTTTGATATCTTTGTTTAGTCTTTGATATTATCCTGGTAAAGTCTATGTTTGGTTCTTGGAGTTATCCTAGTAAAATTTCTATTTGGCTATTGAGATTAGTCAGACAAAATCTCAGTTTGGTTTGTGAGCTCATTCGTTAAAAGCTCTATTTGGTTTAAGGGATTAGCCTATGTAAAATCTATAATTTATTGTAAAAAATATTCGTGAGCATACCCTTAAAAGCTCAAGACATTTTATTAGTAAAACTCTCAAGAAGAAATTTTTGGTGATGGAAGTAGGTCAAGTGGTTAGGCCGAACCTATGAATCTTTGTGCAATCTCTTCCTCCCTATCTCTTTACTTTTTATTGTTTAATTTTTCTTCTTCTCTAAATCTTTCTCTTATGTTTTTCCTCTACTTTATCTCCGTGTATCTGTTGAAGTAACACAAATTGTTTTTAAGACATTTTTTTAATATTAATCGTGATTTCCGAATATCACAATTCACCTCGTCTTATATTTGGAGTCACTTTTTCGAATATCACAATTCACCTTGTCTTGTATTTAGATTCCCCTTTTCAAATATTAATCGTCATTTTTCTTTGATAATATGACTTTTTTTTAAACTTTTGTAATTTAATGTATTGTTATATCATATAATTAAATTTCTAACTTATTAACTTTAATGTATTATATAATTAATAATAAATAAGTTTAATGAAAATGCATTGGAGAAAAATATTGTAAGTATACAATATATACCTCTTTTCTTTTTTATCAAATTAAAGATCAAAGAGATTCATATGATGCATTTGTTAAAACTTCAATCCTAATAAAATTTGAAATGTTACATATTTTTAAAATTTGATAAAATTTTATTTTTGTAATTTTAACAATATTTAATTATTATAAACAATAATAAAATAAAATATAAAAATATGGTCACTAAAACTAAATAAAAATAAAAATATAGGATCAAAATTATAATTAAGCTAAAAAATAAAAATATAAAAATCAATTCGTCAGATTAAAAAATTTATCAAAATCACACTGATTTTTACCGAATTAATTATAATTATGATCTGATAATCTTATCAAACTGCTATATTCTCTAGTTTACAGTATAGCCAATCCAACCGATCGAAACGGACTAAAGTTTTAAAACACTGCTTGAAATTACCTACTTAAATTATTTTTTTAAGAGAATACACGAGAATTTCGGAATGATCTTGTTTCTAATTCTGTTCTCATCCAAAGATTAAAAAAACACTATTACAAACATAATATTATTGAGTGAATCGAGTGACTTATCGAATTCTATTAATTCACTCTATAGTAAACTAAAACATAATATAAATATAAATATCTATCCTCTCATTTGTCTTTTATCATATCCATCAAATGAACCACATATTTTTATACAAGTCTCCTATAAGTGGTTATCTTATCTTAGTCATTTAACTCACCCTAATTTTTAAATTCAATTTTCCTTTAAATAAAGTCACAAATATTAATAAATATTTTTTTCCAGGACTTTGCTTATTTAATATCAAAGGAAAAAGTAAGCATAACATTATCATATAAAAGTACATTGAAATTTTAACACGCCAAGGTGTTTGTGAGTGGAATATGCTTCTTGCACTAGCTGTTTCTATATATATATAATGACCACCTAGCCATACTTACCCCACAAAACATTCAATCTCTTCTTGTCTGTAATAAACTCAATAATGGGAAACCTATCTTCTTCTAACGAGAAGAAGCCTCTTCCCATCGACACTATATTCAAGCTTCCAGCTAACTTACCAATTTGGCCACAAGGTAACTTAATTTTCCCCTTCTTTCTTCTTGATATTATCACGAAATTGAATACAATTTAAAGTGTATATTTAATGTTTTAAAATTATTAGTTTTAAATTTGAGTCGTTTGATCTTGATTGAACGACTAGTTATATTTGAATGTGTTACAATAAATTTAAGTATATTATCACTATTAAAAATATGAAATTCTGTCGATAACTTTTTTGTTATTTAGTTTATTTTAGTAGTAATATTATGATATTCTTAATTATTTTTAATAATAACTTTACATATGTATGTATCTAGGTGGTGGATTTGGTAGTGGAATCATTGATCTAGGAGGTCTAAAAGTGTTACAAATCTCAACATTCAACAAAATTTGGACAACCTTAGAAGGGGGACAAAATGATCTAGGAGCAGCTTTCTTTGAGCCAACACAAATACCTCAAGGGTTCTTCTCATTAGGACACTATAGTCAACCTAACAACAAACCTCTCTTTGGTTGGGTTTTAGTTGCAAAAGATGAGTCCAATGGAGCATTAAAAAATCCAATTGATTACACACTTGTTTGGAGTAGCAAGGCACAAAAAATCAAACAAGACAAAGATGGTTACATTTGGTTACCAATAGCACCTAATGGTTATAGCCCTTTAGGCCATATTGTCACAACCACACCTGAAAAACCTTCACTTGATAGAATCCAATGTGTTAGGTCAGATCTCACTGACCAATGTGAGATCAATACATGGATTTGGGGTAAAGACAAGAAAATTGATGAAAAAGGTATCAATGTTCATAATGTTAGACCAAGCAATAGAGGCACACAAGCTCCTAGTGTTCTTGTTGGAACATTCTTAGCACATGTTGGTGAAATTAAAAATAGCCCTTTACCAATTTCATGTTTGAAAAATTCAAACTTTATGAGTTTTTCTTCAATGCCTAATTTGCCTCAAGTTAAGGCCCTAGCACAAAACTATTCACCTCTCATGTACTTGCACCCAAATGAAAAGTTTCAACCTTGTTCAATTAAATGGTATTTCACAAATGGAGCATTGCTTTATAAGAAAGGGGAAGAAGAAAATCCAATTGACATAGACCCATTAGGCTCAAATCTTCCTCAAGGTGGAAGCAATGATGGTTCTTATTGGTTGGATCTACCAAAAGATAAAGCTAATAGAGAAAGAGTCAAAAAAGGTGATTTCAAAAATTTTCAAGCTTATATTCATGTAAAACCAATGTTTGGTGGTACATTTACTGATTTAGCCTATTGGGTTTTCTACCCTTTTAATGGGCCAGGGACATTAAAAGTTGGGCTTATAGATAACATTTCACTTGGTAAAATAGGTGAACACATTGGTGATTGGGAACATGTTACTTTAAGGATAAGTAACTTTAATGGAGAGTTAAAAAGTGTTTATTTTTCACAACATAGTAATGGTCAATGGCTTGATGCTTCACAAGTTGAGTTTCAAAGTGGGAATAAATCTGTGACTTATTCTTCATTGAATGGTCATGCTATTTATTCTAAAGCTGGACTTGTTCTTCAAGGTGTTAGTGATATAGGGATAAAGAATGAAACTAAGAAGAGTGATATGGTTGTTGATTTTGGAGATGGTTTTGAGATTGTTTCTGGGGAGTATTTGGGGGATGAGGTTGTTGAACCTAGTTGGTTGAATTTTTTTAGGCAATGGGGTCCTAAAATTACTTATGATTTAGGTGAGGAGTTGAAAAAGTTGGATAAAGTGATTCCTGGTTTGAAATTGCCTAATGAGTTGTTGGGTGAGGAAGGGCCTACTGGGCCAAAGCTCAAGAGAAATTGGAACGGAGACGAAGTTTGAATAATTGAGCAGTTTATATATGTTTGATTTTAAATTACAGTTACGATTATAGAACGATCAAAAATAAAAAATTGCTGGTAAATGTGGTTACAATTACGGTTGCTTTGAAATATTTTTATATTAGACTCTCATTGTTGTTGGATATAAAAATTGAAAACCATTATTGGGACCAATAAATATAAAGAAAGACTTAGGGTTGTTGTGTGTATTTAATATTATTTGTTATGAACATTATTGATGTTATTTTTGTGATTGATATTGAAACAAGTGTTAGTAGTATAATGATATTGACAAAGTTGCATTTTGTTGTATTTGTATGACAGCTTGTTCTTGTTGTTGTTAACGTTAACAACCATGTGATTGTTTTATTTTCCAAAATTATAGGATGGTGCAAATAATTTTGAATATTGAGATGTATAAAATGTTAGATTCGATTCTCATCCACTAACCTTCTAAATATTGTTAATAATAATGGTCTTTAAAAAAAAGTTAAATTTTAGTTTTATGCATGGAACATGTCGGTAAAGTTTAGGAAAAAAGAAAAGAATTAATAAAAGGACTGGTGGGTATAAAGGGGAAAATGTCAGTTTGGAAACATAGAAGGACAGTGGTGAAAGATGCAAGTCATTTGATTTGGGGTCCATACCATGAATTGATAGACATAAACATTGTAAATTATTGACTAATGTAAAATGAAAATACTCACCGACAAGGAGAGAAAAAGTGAATAATTATGAGTGGAGTGTCTTTTTAATGGCATTTAATATAGTAGACTGAATTATTTTACACTAAGGTCCATTAGAGGTTTAAAAGCAATTGTATTAGCAATAAATCAATATTCAACCATATGGAAATTGTTTATATGGTCCCAAAAGCATTTTGTTTAGGTAGAAACCGCCCCCCTTTTGTCGATTTTGTATTTATAGTTTTGATTTTTTTTTTTAAGAGGGTTTAATTTCTTAGGTTATGTCTGAATTGATGGAACACGACGAAGTGAAATAGAATGAAATAGAATAATATTATATTTTATTATTTGAATTGGTAAAAAGAGGATGAAATAGAGTGGAATATAATAAAATGTATTTTATTCAATTTTCTATTTTATGTCCATCTAATTTGAAGTGTATTAGATGGAATGAGATATTTTAAATAAAATAACTAAATAATAGAGTGAAATTTATATTCCATTCCGCTACATTTCATTCAGCTCTGTTATGTTCTATTCTACTTCGCACCGTTGTGTTCCATCAATTCAATCATAGTTTTAGTCTCCTACGTTTATTAGATTTGATCGGTCAAGTCTCTCCTTAAATTTAGAAAGTGTTATAATGACTCAGGAATCCTTCTCTTAACACATCACAACTATAAATAAGATATAATTGGATATGCGGTGAGCTCGCTAATGTTAGGTTTGAGCTCGCTCATGATGGGGTTGAGTCCGCCCACATGTTGGGGGAGAGTAAGAAAGTCAAATGATCTAAAAGAGGGGGTTGAATATGGCATTCCCCTAAATTTTCAAAAACATTTTCTTCGAAAATAAGAGTTTTACAAATAAACATGCAGTTCACAAACGGAAGCAAGAGATACCTGAGATTTTATAAAAGATATGATTGGATGAATATCACATTTAACTTGGATCATCAGATATTACAATAACTAGAAAAGATGAAGTTGGTTAAACAAGCAATTCAACAATGATTAAAGTTTAAATATTCACCAAAGGCTCAAATTGAATATGTAGTAGAATACTCAATGTTGAATTTACAAGATCTTTACTTGATTTTGACTCAAATGTAGATCTAAAATTATGCTCCAAACTTTTGTTTCGTAGCAGTTTTTAATTGACTCTACGAGTTTCTGGTCTGCGTCTTTATTCTACTCAAGGATCTTTGAAACTCCCATCTTCTGAAAATATTGATCATGATTTGAATCATACAATATTGTGATTCACATCAATGTGTTCTATAATTTGAATCAGACACTTTTTTACTTGAATCACAAAGTCAGTTCCCTCCACATTTCCAATTGAGTTATTGATTCGAGTTAATCATATGATTGATTCGAATCCAGCTTCAAAAACTCACTGTTTTAAACTTTCTAACTTGTGATCCAAGACATACACATGCTTACTTTGACCAACTTGCTCAAACTAAAAAAAATTGCAATAGACTCAATTCTAATTTAGTGTAAGGGTTGACTCCAAGTATAATTCTACAACAAATACTAAAATTTAAACTAGATCAACAAAAAAAATTACAAATTTCAAAAATTAAAGAACATTAAAATATAAATGATATGCACCTTTACCAACTGAGAAGTTTCAGTCTTTTATGTTTGGAAAGTTTGAGATATTATTTGAAGAAAGTAATTTGATTTTGTTCTGATTATGTATCATCGTGCAATTGATGCAGGAGGTCTTGAGACAATTGGTACATAAGCTCTTGAGCTCTTAAGTTCCCCTTGCATTAAACATTTAACATGCCTAAAAATTGATAGATATATCATAAAAATTAACCCCCTTTGACCAATATCAAAAAGAGAATATGCAAAAAAAAAAAACATGACTTAAATGCACATCAATAGAGGAAATCATGAAAAAACAAAATCATGTTATTTACTGTGGATCTATGTGTTTGAAGGTATGATGTTTGTAGCAATGTGTTTGGTTTGGATGTTGAAAATGCTCTTAAGAAAAGTCTTCATCAAAGATTCTAATTAAGGCTTTTGATTTGGATAATGAAAAGTGAAGTTATCATATAAAGTGATCAAGTGGTGGTGCTTGAAGATCAATGTGTCATCTGATATGATGATCCATTTATGGTGCTCAAGATATAAATGCTCAGTTGATATGGTGATCAAGTTGTTGTACTCAAGATATCAAAGATCATTTGATGTGGTGATCATTGTAACACCCTAAATCCATGACAAACAAATTTCTTTCTTTATAAAACATTGTGGAATATAAGAAAATAAGACAAGGGTGTCACACCAACTTAATACTCAGCTTTTTAATTCAAAACATGACAATAAGGTACAATCATTTAGTTTAAGATAAAACAGAGAACATAACAAAATAATCACAAACCCTAACGTTACATTATCAGAGCTATTTATTCAAAAATAAATTAATAGATAACTTAAGTCCAGTGAAACGTAAATCAAACAAGTAGTTGAAGTGGCCATCTACATCATCTTCCATAAACAACCAGCAACACTCACTCTCCAATCTCAACTTGAGAATCATCTTAAAAGGAGTTCATATAAAAGAACATATCAACATAAGGGGTGAGAAGATATTCTATAAAATAATGTGGTATAATAGCAAGAAATGTGTCATTTTAACATACAAGCACATCATTCATAATCAATCACAATTACATAATAACGCAAAAATATATGCAAGAATAAATATGCAATTCTCATCTCCTATACTCCCATGCATGTGGTACCATCTCCAGATTCACATTTATTTTACTGAAATCTAAAAACACCGGACTGAAGTCCTAAAACACCGGACTGAAGTCCTAACATCGGACCAAAGCCCTAACACCACACCGGAGTCCTAACCTAACTCTAAAACATATGATTCATGATGCTTCAAACAAATGCAATCTCTATTTGAACCTCCAACTCCAAGATTAAACATCTTCAGTTAAGACTAACACCGGTTCTTGTGAATCTAAACAAAATCAATATTAAACACCACCGGATAAGGCTAACAATGGTTCTTATGAACCTAACAACACCTCCAATTATGCTAAAACACCAACTATTCCGAACCTAAAGAAAACAACATAGGTTCTTATTGAACCTAAACAAAATCCACTTGTTCTTATCAAACATCAGGGTATTAATACGGTCACTCACATCACACCATTATATCATACAAACATTGGACTTGCACCCTAACTTTAACAATTTAGATCATATACATTTATCAATACATTGGACCAAGTCCTAAACATTGACAACTTGATTCACATAACTCTTTATCAAGGTAGTTACTCATATCTTCCAACATTCATAATTTAGGTTACACATGTACTCAGCGAATACTAGACTTACACAATTAATTATTATTCATATTAGTTATTCATAGAATACTTTAAAGACAATTACCTCATCCACGATTGTGTATTCACTTCTCGGTCATAATATGATCAAAATACATCAACTATATTATCTAACATTAATGAATATATCATGGGATTAGGGTACATCACAAGCGGAGCGAGAAAAATTTTCATAGGCCAGAACATTTGAGGCCAACACGAGCTGCATGTGTCACCTAACGCAGGATGTGCCAGGCATAGACGCCCTCCCCTATATAAAAACCTGTCATCAACACACCCGGTCGTGTCAGCTGACACGGGCTGTGTCAGACCCAGGTCCCAAAAATTATTTTTTAACTCTTCACAAGAATTTCACTACTAAACTCGTCTTCTTCAACATAAACATATCTCAATTCAGCTTTAAGCATGTTTTATCATAGTCAAACATCATATACTATTGTATTAACATATATTCCTTCAATTTATAATATCCCCAATTAGTAAGAACATTATATTATCAATCTTGCCTCAACATAAAAATTAATTCGTCCATAATATCTCTACACAACATGATTACAACATAATTTTTCATGAATTCACAACATAATCACAACATGAGATAAGATCACAACATCACACAAAGTTATCATAAGCAAAATTATCATAACCTAATAAGGGTTAAGGAAATCCCATTATCCCATTGCCAAAATACCAAATATATAACAAATCTCCCTACATCAGTTATGCATAATTTTCTTGAGTTTTTGGTGATACGGGAGTCTTCTCCTCGTAGAGCTTTCTTCTAGGGTTTCATATTTTCCTTTTTTCATTTTTTAAATTCCATGTAGACTAATTATTATTATTTAATTATTTGGGTGTTAAATGATAAAAACCAAAATTTTCAAAAAAAAAGGATCCCTAAAGGGTTCAAACCCTAGACCTTATATT